AATAACACAATCTCATAACACTCTTTCAGCAAACAGAAAATAAAAAAGGAGGGACTACTTCTCTACTCATTTTATCAGGCCAGCATAACCTTGATATTAAGTTTGTCGAAGACATTACAAGAAAGGAAAATTACAGACCAATTTTTCTCATGGACATAGATGCAATCCTTTAACACTTAATATTGGAGTTCTACTAACACATAGGATGTAGAAAGCCAGTACAAAAATGTCTCTCCCACCCTAATAATGAGAAAAAATGGTATAATCTACCAAATCATAATTTGTTCTTGAACCCATCAGAAAATTGGAGATGTAGGACAATCAAGTGAATTAAGTTTCAAAGAATAACAAGTCTCTCCGAGGACAGAAGGGACTCCAAACTATTTCACCTTTGGCAGAGCACAGGAGGAAACGGAGGCTACCATACAAGCAAAAAAGAAGAAATCAGCTCTTTTTAACTGTAGTAGACTGTATGTGAGCTAGCATTTCAGTTTAGAGTAACTAAAAGCTCAAAACACACGGGGAATTTACACTCTCATGTTCTTTTCCATGAGTCTTAACCAGGTGCCCATCCAAAAGAATGGCAGCAAAGCCAGGAACTCCAGAGAGCCCCCCTTTTGTGGTACAGGTGCACAAGAAGGGGTAAACTGCCACTCCATGACAGGCATAAAACCGTGCCACCTTGCCTAACTTTCCACTCATGTGAGGAAAAGGCCTTAAACCTCTGAGGGAGGGCTCAGAATACTTCCTACTCTGAAGACAAGGCAATAATTAATTGTTTCTGGGGGTGAGATAGATGCAAAAATGACCTCGCTCAAGGGAAGGTAAAAAAACCAAAACGCTCTGGGGCCCAGGAGCCTACACCAGTACAAAGCCGAGGTGAGCCAGCACTGGTGAGGATCAGGAATCGCTCTTTCACCCGTTATCAGCCACAAATACAAGGCGCATTTTGGTTGCCAAGGGGAGAAGAGGAAGAAACACAGAGAAAGACCCACTCCCAAGGCACATGGACTAAGACAGGGCCAGGAGAATAGAGAATGCCTGTACCTACTATGAGCTTAGGACTGAGTAACAAACAACATTCTACTGCTGACGAAAAGACAAGAGCACGGAGAGAGATTTCTCTCTGTGGCACAGGCAAGCAGAGGCAGATGAAAGCACAGGATGTAGAACAAACACTGAGAAAAACCTTCCAGTACTCCAGGGCCCTTTCTAAGCACAAAGTTACAGCAGCCCACCCACCAAATTTGAAGCCTGTGGTACACTGAGGCTAATGACAGTAATAACAAAACTCAAGCCAAGCTTGATTCCCAACGATACTGACTGAAGCTTCCATACTCAGTAGGCCTCCACACTCACTTGAACAAAATTGCCAGTATACTTGACCTAATCTACATTTATAGAATACCAAGAGCAGAATGCTCATTCTTTTCAAATGCACATGGAACACTCAACAAGATGAATAACCTGAATAGCCCTGCATATATATTTTACTCAAATTTTTTATTAAAAAGGTTCCCACCAAGAAAACTCCAGGCCCCAGTGACCTTACTAGGAATTCTACCAAATATTTAAGAAGGAAATAATATTAATTCTATACAAATTCTTCCACAAAATAGGAAAGAGGGAACACTTCCCAACTCAATTTATGAAATCAGCATTACCTGATAACAAAATTAGACAAAGATGTAAAATAAAGCTACAAACCAACATTTTTCATGAAAATATTCACAAAATCCTTAACGAAATATTAGCAGATCAAATCAAGAAATATATATATAAAGGATGATGCATCAAAACCAAGTGGAATTTATCTCAGGAATGTAAAATTGGTTCAACATTCAAAACCAATCAGTTATTATTCACCATATCAACATATTAAAAAAAGAAAAACCACATGAGCATCTCTACATATACAAGAGAAGTATCTAACAAAATTCACCATCCATTCATAATAAAACTCTCAAAAAACAAGGAATAAAAGAGAGCTTCCTCAACCTAGTAGAACACATCTATACACCACTGCAGTGGAGGCACTAGGCCATGCAACAGGGCAAAGGAAAGGAAAGGAAGGGAAGGGAGGGGAAGGGAAGGGAAGGGAGGGGAGGGGAGGAGAGAGGAGGAGAGGGGAGGGAGAGAAGAAAGAAAGAGAGAGAGAGGGAGGGAGAAAGAAAGAAAGAAGAAAAGAAAGAAAGAAAAGGCATACAGATTGGAGGGAGGAAGTAAAACTGTCTTTATTCACATATGATACATGTTCTTGGAAAATCCTATGCAATCTACAAAAAGTGGTACTATAATAAGTTTAGTGAGGTCACAGGATACAAGGTAAATATACAAATATCAATCATATTTCTGCTACAAACAACAAACAATTGGAAAATGAAATGAAAAAATCAGCATTTATAATAGCATGAAAAAAATAAATAGGGGAAAATCTAAACAAACTATGTGCAAGATTTGTATACTGAACTATAAAACACTGACAAGAAAAAATAAAGAAAATAGAAATAAAGAGATAAAATATGTTCATACGCAGAAAATTCAATATTATTTACATGTCAATTCTCCCAAAATTGATCTACATATTCAACATAATCCCAATCTAAATCCCAGCAAACTTTTTGTAGTAATTTACAAAATGAACTCTAAACTTTATATGGAAAAGCAAAGGGTCTAGAATACTCAAAACAATCTTGAAAAAGAGGAACAAAGTTGGAACACTAATTACCTGATTTCAAGACTTACTATAAAGTTACAAAAATCAAAACAAATAGATCAGTGGAACAGAACAAAGAGCCAGAAATAGTTGTGTGTGTGTGTGTCCTAAATCAATTTTCAACAAAGGTGCCAATGAAATTAGTGGAGAAAGGATAGGTGTGTCAACAAATCGGTACTGGAAATAGGTGTGGTATTGGACACCAATCTATCTATACCAAAAAATTAACTTAAAATGGATCACAGACCTAAACGTAAAAGCTAAAACTATAAAACTTCTAGAACCAAACATAGGAAAAACTTTTTGAGACTTTGGGTTAGGCAAAGATTCGTAGGTAGGGCACAAAAAACACAAACCATAAAAGAAGAAACTGATTAAAAAATTGTCATCAAAATAAAAAATTTTGCTCTTTGAAAGATCTAGTTAAGGAAATGGAAAGATAGGCCACAGATTGGCAGAAAATATCTGCAAGATGCCTATCTGATAAAAGACTTGTGTCATATATAAAGTATCCTTACAATCCAACAATAAGAGAACAAACACAATTTTTTTAATGGGCAAAAGATTTGCACAAACTACTTGACCAAAGAAGGTATTAACCTATGGTAAGGTGTTCAGTATCATTAGTCATACAGGAAATGTAATCAAAGCCACGATGGGATACCATGCTTCTATCAGAGGAATGTAATTAATAAATAAAAATTAATCAATAAAAACTGATATCAAGTACTAACAAGGATGCAGAGCAACTGAAATTCTCGTAATTGCTGGCAGAAATGCAAAATAATACAGCCACTTTGGAAAAGTTTGGCAGATTCTCACTGAATTAAACATACACTTACCATACAACTCAGCAATTCCACTCCTAAATATTTATCCAAGAGAAAAAAAAAATATTCAAGCAAAAACCTTTACCAAAATGTATGTATCAGCTTTATTCATAATCTCTATAATTGGAAACAACCCATAACTATAACAGAAAATGCCCAGCAACCAATGAATGGATAAACAAATCACAATACAGTCAAACATGAAATACTACTCAGCAGTAAAAAGGAACAGAAGTAGTGAAATACCAACAATATGAATAAATGTCAAAAGCATTATGCTAGGGCGCCTGGGTGGCTCAGTCGGTTAAGCGACCGCCTTCGGCTCAGGTCATGATCCTGGAGTCCCGGGATCGAGTCCCGCATCGGGCTCCCTGCTCGGTGGGGAGTCTGCTTCCCCCTCTGACCCTTCCCCTCTCATGCTCTCTGTCTCTCATTCTCTCTGTCTCAAATAAATAAATAAATAAAATCTTAAAAAAAGGGGCGCCTGGGTGGCTCAGTCGGTTAAGCGACCGCCTTCGGCTCAGGTCATGATCCTGGAGTCCCGGGATCGAGTCCCGCATCGGGCTCCCTGCTCGGTGGGGAGTCTGCTTCCCCCTCTGACCCTTCCCCTCTCATGCTCTCTGTCTCTCATTCTCTCTGTCTCAAATAAATAAATAAATAAAATCTTAAAAAAAGGGGCGCCTGGGTGGCTCAGTTGGTTAAGCGACCGCCTTCGGCTCAGGTCATGATCCCGGAGTCCGGGGATCGAGTCCCACATCGGGCTCCCTGCTCAGCAGGGAGTCTGCTTCTCCCTCTGACCCTATCCCCTCTCATGCCGTTTCTCTCTCTCTCTCTCTCAAATAAATAAATAAATAAAATCTTTAAAAAAAAAAAAAGCATTATGCTAAGTGACAGAAACCAGACACGAAAATTTACATACTGTATGATCCCATTTATATGACATTCACACAAAAGGACAAAGATCTCCTGATCAATCTCTGCATCCAAAGAATTTAGCACACTAGAAAATACTCAGTAAATGCCGGATGGAGAGAAAGAGGAAGAAATCACTGCAGGGAGGATAGAGAGCAAGAAGGTGATAGACTAACGGAAAGCAAAAAGGCACCTGGGGGTCCAAACCCACCCACAGGCCGAAAAATGTGAGCGAAGGCGTGGCCCAACCCACCTCTACCGATTCCAGCAGCTTAAAAAAGGACTATGGTATGAATGAATAGCTTCAGCATTCTCCGGCCTAAAGAAAGGCGGGGTGCGCCCCACCCTGCTTTAAAAATCTACTACCGCACGCGCGAGGCTGAGCAAGTGAGCTTCCACCTGCAAGGGAAGCTTTTCCGTGCCCAGGAGCGGAGCCGGGGAGACCCGGGCGGGCTCCCGCTTAGGTCAGCGGGTTGCAGACGGAGAGCAGGCTTCCCCGCGGCCCCGCCCGTCTCCATCCCTTCCCGCTCGGCCTCACTCACCCAGGCCTGCCGTTCCAACTGAGCGTACAAATTGGAGCCCTTGAGCTTTTGGACTATCTGGGCGATAACGAGAGACAGATCCGACTCCTCCTGCAACATTTCCCCTGCCCTAGCCCGCCAAGCCGCGGGGACAGGCTGGCGCAGAGAGAACGGGCTACGGGGTCCCACTCGGGGCCAGCGACACTTCTCCGGGACCTTCTCACGCTGGGACTCCCCTAGCGGGAGTTACCAGGCAACCGCCGGGCCGTGAGTCCGTTCCTCTCTGGTCCCCCCGGCGGCTGAAGGTCCCAGCGCCTGCGTTCCGCTGGCAAAAAAAGGATCTGGTTGCGGGAAGCTTTTCGTTCCATTGTTCCTGCTTGGTGTACGCCTAAGGGGAAACAAGAGGAGCGCTTTCCTCCGGAGATACGGTACCTCTGATGCACCAGGGGAATTCAGAGTCGTGTACTTTTGTGTTTTATTATAATGGATCATTCCTTCTCCACCTTTCAATCTCTGCAGAAACAGGGCTGTACACACAGTTACATGGAAAATTATGGCCAAGAATTACCAGGCTCTGACACTAGCTGTGTAAACTTGGGTGAGGTGCTTACATTTCAGAACTCAGTTTCTATCTCTGTAAAATAACACCAGTTCGGAAGATGTTGTGATGATTAGCTGAGGTAACAATTGGGAAGGTGGCTAGCGCTGTATTTAACAATTGGTTTTATTTGCACTTCTCCTGTTTCTATTCTGTGGGGTCTTATGCCAGGAAGAAATAGACAACATCTTCTCATCAAACAGCTACAACTTAACCAAGAAGGATTTATTTATTTATAGACCTTCTGTGAAACATTGGCAATTCAAGGATGACTAAGACATTGTCCCAGTCCAAGGGATGTAACATCTAGATGCCTCTGCTTCTATGTATTCATCCATTCAATCATTTATTCAAAATTCATTCAGCTTTCAAAAAGAAAAGTCATTCAGCTTTCAACTTATTGCGCATTTACATGCAAGAAACGGTGTGGGCACAAAGGTAAATAAGGCATGGTTCTTGCCTTCAAAGAAACATATCAAAGGTTTTTAGTAGAACTAGAAGAAACAGATTTAGCTAATTGAATGGCATTCCCAAAGGCAGCTAGAAAAATACCTGTGGAATAATGTAAACGTTAGAATAACCTCACCAAAATAATCAAGAATTAATTTCAAGTGTGTGTGTGCATATTTTTAAGCGAAGCAAAGGTAAGATTCCAAGAAAACAGATCAAGATGACTGCAAAAACTACTCTAGCCTAACTACATTAAACTTTAATCAGAGCATCTGATTCAACAGGACTCTTGTAGGATCTGCTAATCTGATTTCTGGCAAGTTCCAAGGAGATTGTATTGCTGGTGGTTCAGGAACTACACTCTGAACACCAAAGGACTAAAGCAGGTACATGATAGAAATTCTAAAGGACGGGGCCTTTGGCACCCATGCACAACACCTTGGCATTCATAACACCACTGCTCAGAATATTGTGATGGCAAATACAGATTCCAAATAACCCACTTGGTCATGTTTGTTTATTAAAAACAACTTTGGAAAGAGGCAGGCAGGGAGGAAAAAGTACTTAAAGGCAATTAATGACAGACTCCACAAAACACGTAGTTTCTATACAAAACATTCCCCCTACAATTCAGAATTTCTCCAGCTTGTAGAGGAATAAATCTCAACTCTTTACAGCCTCTCCATCCCAACACCCCACCCATCCATGAATCTCCAGCACAAACGTCACTTCGAACAAAAAAAAAGGAAAACTATGGAGAGAGTTCTTTTGAGATTAGAAGGGGGAAGGTGGTTAATAACTAAAAAGATAAGAACACTTAGGTTGAGAACGGTCATAAAGCATAGGGAGGAAAGAAGGTGAAACTGTGGAGTGGCAGAAAGTCATGGTACCTGGAATCAGAAAACAACCTAACTCCTTTTCTGCTGTGTATCCTTTGGTCCCTTCCCCTGTCAGAGTTTCAGCTTTCTCATCTGTAACAAGAGGATAAAATACTGACCTGAGGGGACACTCTGGGGAAAGATGTACCTTGTGTTAAAATATTTTTTTAAAAATATGAATAAATGAAATACTAAAATTGAGGTAAGTAAATAAAAATAATGTCCAAGCTATTGGCAAGGGAATGGAAAGTAAATAAATGTAGCAACATGTATGAAAGTGCCCAGCACAATTTTTTGCACAGAGGTTTTAAAAAGTTTTTTCTAAGGAGAAAATAATTTGCAGTCTTACAGCAACAATTAAGAAGTTTGGATTTGATTCTGAAGACATGCCCAAGCAAAAAAAAAAAACAAAACTTAATCCTAGTATTAAAGATTTGTTTCTTACACACATAGAAGCAGGTGTGTTACGTTATAATTCAATTCTAGAATGCCCTCTGTTCTCTTTCTAATTCAATTTAGCAAAACTTCTCAGAACACTTGCTCTGTGCTAAGAAAGGCAAGGAATACAAAGATGAGTAAGAAATGTCCTTTCTTCTAAGAAATTCTCAGTCACAAAGGGATGGTGAGGTCAGTACACAAAGAGCTATAATGGTAGATGGGCCTCTTTAGACTCCCACCTGTGTATCTGGAAATTTTATTACTCTAAAGTCATTGTCTAATAAAAAGCAAAAGGTGCAGATTTCCATCTCCATCTCACAAGTAGAATTTTGCCTTGGAAATCCTTATTCTACTCAGAGTGGGAGGGAATTGGGAAAACACTCTAACAGATGAATAGCAAAAGGAATCCAATCTCATCTGAGTAAATAAAACTATATAAACAGAAACAAAAGTAAAATGAATGCAGAGAGAATTCTCCTCAAAATCCCCTCAAATTCGAAGCAAAGGCACTTCTGGGCCAACATGTGTAAGGTTCTGGGCTCAATCCTGCCTTTCTCGGATCTGCTCTGCTTTGATTTATTGTATATATAATATTGTGTCAGATTTCACTGTGGGTGAGTGGGTGGGGGAAGCCACTGACCAGTGGCCTCACATGAGCAAAGATGAGGACCACATCCAAAACACCCTGTGAGCTCCACACAAAACTGAGGCTTACATAAACTCCAGGATCTGCAATGCAAGTATGTTCAGCTATTGTTTTAGGAGACACTGCTATTAGCATGCTGTATCTGCAGAATAGATTGAATATTATGTTGTCAGGAATTTACTTAAATAAAAAGTATTTTGTGTGTGTTGTGTGTACCATGAATGTCACAGGCCTCCTTGTCTTTGGGAACAAATGAGCTCATTGTGATACCAGTTATCTGTCACTGGATCGTTAGCCCCCATATGCTTAGCACAGGACCTCGGGCTCCTCTTCAAAGTCTCTTCCTGTTACTTCTGGGAGTCCTCAGGAAGTGGCACATGTGTGCTTAGGAGCAAATCTGGTTGTGATCTGCTCTACCTGCTTTGATGGTATCTGATGCCCCAAAGCTACTGTCTAGGGTGCTCCCGCTTTTTGGTGCTCCCAAAGCTGCAAAAACCCAGAGATACTTAAATCCGAAGGCTCACAAAACCCCTCAAGAACAAAGCCCCTTAGGGTTCTGCTTGCCACCTCCCTTTACAAGGTGGTCAGATCTCCTTCTATTCCAAGCTGAATAGAAGACCTTGCTATTGGAGGGGAGCAGATTTTGCTACCCCAAAATATGTCTCTTTGGCATAAAGATTACTTTGAGCTAAAGGCATTTAAAACCCAGTAGATTCAGGAAAACCGCTTAATTTTATATTGGAAGGGAGACCTGTACCTGGAAGAGAGCTATTACCAGAAATACGTTTCCCCTGAGAAATTTATCTGCATAAGAAGGCAACCTTTGTTTCCTAAACATCTTCTTTGCCTTCCTGTGATTGGTATTTTCCCCTTTGTATCCCCAAACCCCTACACCTTTCCTTAGCTCAGGATGTTATATAAGCCTCAATTGACTAGCTGCCCTTCCAGTCTTCATTATCTCTCCCCTATCCATGAAATTTTGTTTGTTTTTCTCCTGTTAATCTGTCTTAAACCAATTTAATCATTAGACCAGCCAAAGAACCTAGAATGGAAGAGGAAAAATTTTTCTGCCCTTCACTATACTCCATTTCTCCATCTTTCCTGCCTCTGGACCCAGGCAATTATGTGTAAATGGGGAGGATTGGGCTATTGGTTCCATGAACACTCTCAGGGACTATGTTGGCTTCATGTTAAATATAAAACTCATGGGAAAAATCCAAGTAACTGGTTTAAATCATAGGATATTTATTATTACCAACAAGTCTAAAGGAATGTACAAAGGCTGGTTTAATGCCTCCACAACATCATCAAAAATCTAAACTCTTTCCTTCTTTACCATTCTGCCCTCCTTAGCATGTTGGCCTTCACCATTCAGCCTTAAGGTGGCTGCTGCAGTTCCAAATTGACATTTTTCTACCACTGCCTACAAAGGGAGGCAGGAAGAAGACAAAATAAAGGAGCTCGCAATGACTTTGTATGTCTCTTCTTTTTTTTTTTTTAAAGATCTTTTTTATTTATTTGACAGAGAGAGATACAGCGAGAGAGGGAACACAAGCAGCGGGAGTGTGAGAGGGAGAAGCAGGCTTCCCGCGGAGCAGGGAGCCCGATGCGGGGCTCGATCCCAGGACCCTGGGATCATGACCTGAGCCTAAGGCAGCCGCTTAACGACTGAGCCACCCAGGCACCCCTATGTCTCTTCTTTTTTTGAGGAAAGATTATTTTTCTAAGAAGCCCCCAAGAAGACTTTCCCATGAATCTTATTGCCCAAAGCTGTGTCACTGACCACCTCTAGCCACAAGAGAGTGGCAAGAAATGATGTGGTATTTTATCTTCAATCCTGGGAGAAAGATGAAGGAGAAGAATGGTTTGTTGATTCTACCAAATTGTCCAAAATAACTTCAGTCTCAGATTGGCATTGTGATATGAACACTTGTAGGTGAGAATTCCTGACTGACATTCAGGCTAATTGGACCACAAATAAAGTAGAGTTGGGCAATATCCAGATCATTTATTATCCACAGAGTTGGTTGTGTGAAGTTCAGAATCCAGAATCTAAATTATAGTACTTATTGATGTGGCATTTTCTCAGTATTATGGTGACATAAAAGCTAAAAATAAATAAGGTTGACCCATTTGCAAAATAAGATCTATAAGTAAAAGATTATTTGACAAGAACAGAAAATTTACAAGTGTTATTATTTTTTAAAAGACAAAAATTGATGACTTGTGAAGAAAACAGCTTGTTCATAAATAACTTTCCGTGAAGGCCTCCCTGTATTTGCAAGTCAGTCTACTGGAATTCTAGGTTATTCTCTCTGGTTGTACAAGCAGAAGTGAGCAGTGGAAATAACCTATTCTCTAATACAATCTGTACAGCTTGGAGCAAAAGAAGCTTACTGCTGCAAAGTGATGGATGGCCTAGTTTCTCCAGACATTTCCTCTAGGTTTCAGGTAACACAGTAGAGCAGGATCTACTTGACTCATTTTCTCCTCAGTTCTCTGACCATAGCTTTGCTTTCCTACCTCCCCCAGCCAAGCTACACCACACACACACACACACACACTTCCATTCCACGATGTTTCTTTTTAAATTATTCTTTCTTGTTTTGTACCACCTTTCCTCCATTGCCTCTTAGGAAACTTACATACTGTCTGCCATCTTTTTTTCTTTCCAGTTTTTTTGAAAGCATAGCAACATATACAAGGTAAATATATATATATATATATATATATATATATATATATATATATATATATATATATGAATAGAACAGCTACAATATTAAGTATTAATTTGATTGAGATCAAATTGAAGGCCACAGTGGGGCCTGTCCCTGTCCATTAGGGAAGGGAAAATTGTCCATAAGGGTGCATATGGGGAATCAGGGTTAAGTTATAGACTGGAAGAAGATCAAAAACTATCTGTCGCAGGCTTAGTCATCTAGGAGCAGAGCCAGTGAGGAGCAGAGCATGCACCTCTAGTGCATAACCAGCAGCCCCACCCGCAGATGCCTGTTAATGGGAGGGGTCCTAGGGAAGGGGCCATCAGGTCTGTTACCAGGACTTAAGTTGAGACAAGCTCTGTGCATTGCAAAGAGCAAAGCCATGGACCCTGGAACAAAGTGGGTGTCTTGGCAAGGAAGAGCCTTTCAAGTGAGAAACTGAGGGAAAAAAAGGGGGACTTGGCATGGTGCCACCATTTCCTCCTCTTGGGTCTTAGTGCCTTTCACAGATCTTCCACCAGCACCATGTTGGGACAGAGCATCCAGAGGTTCACACACAGGAGACACTATGAGGAGGGCCTAGGGAAGAATTTGCCATTTTCAGTGAAAAACAAGTGGCAGCTACTCATTATGATGACTGTGTACTTTGGATCTGGATTTGCTGCATCCTTTTTTATAGTAAAACACCAACTACTTAAGAAATAAGGATATGTTAGTTAATCCATGAGATAGATAAGAAGAAAAGCACTTTAAGATGCGCAATTTCTTTGAAAAATGGATCAAACTCTTGAATTTAATGTACTTGTTATGTTTGTAAATAAACTTATGGCATGACTGAAAAAAAATGGGAAATTGAATTAAATGTTTGATACAGAGAAGAAAGAGAACAAAAGACAAAGACTACAATAAAACAATGTTTCTCAGCTCAAATATCCTTGAGTTCTTATGCTTTATCTAAAAAATTCATGACACGATAAGTGTATTCCAAAATATACCTTTGTGTATTTCAATATAAAAATGTTTTAAATACTGCAACATCTAGAAAATTAACGTATCATGTGTAGCCTTGGTTGTCAGCATACTCTGTGGGAAACAGCTGAGTGCCCCACACCATATGCTGTCCCAGAAGTCTCAGCAGTATTGAACCTAATAGCCCACATCTGTACCCTATGCACTAACATACCCCATTTTATCTGCCCTTCCCTATCTCACTTCCCCACTCCACTGCAAGTATTTGCTGAGATCACCCCCAATACACTATGAACCCTCAAATTTTTATTTCATAGTCTGCTTCTGGGGGGAACCTGATCTACATCTAGTACCTAATGTGGTGCCTGGAAGGTAGCAGGTACTTCTTAAGTGGTCAAAAGAGGAATGATGATTTCCAAATTTCTCCAGGTGAAACTGCTTGACTGGAGTCTTGCAGCTTTAACCCCAAACTTCCAGCCCAGCAGAGTCTTCTGAACTTTACATTTTTGTATTAGAGAAGAATGACAACAGAGGTATTATCAGTAGGATTCTCCAGAGGAACAGAACCAATAGGAGATAGAGATAGAGATAAATTTATTTTAAGAAATTGACTCACATGGTTGTGGGAACTAGAAAATGTGAAATCTATAGGGCAGGTCGTCAAGCTGAAAATTTAACTAAGAGTTGATGTCTTGAGTCCAAAATCCACAGGGCAGCACGCTAGAGACTCAGGCTTTCTAATGACAGTCTTGAAGCAGAATTCCTTCTTTTCCAGGAAATCTCAATTTTTGCTCTTAAGGTCTTCAGCTGATTGAATGAGGCCCACGTTATGGAGGGCAATCTGCTTTACTTAAAGTCAACTGATTGTAGATGCTAACCATATCTATCCACCAAAAACATTCACAGCAATATCTAGATTAGTGTTTGACCAAACAACTGGGCACTGTAGTCCAGTCAGGTTAACATTACCTGGTTAAATTTTTTTTTAAGATTTTTTTTTTTTTAATTTATTCATTCGAGACACAGAGATACAGAGAGAGAGAGAGAGAGAGAGAGAGCATGAGCAGGGGGAGAGGCAGAGGGAGGGGGGAGAAGCAGGCTCTCCATGGAGCAGGGAGCCTGATGCAGGGCTCGATCCCAGGACGCTGGGATCATGACCTGAGCCGAAGGCAAACGCTTAACCATCTGAGCCACCCAGGCGCCCCTTACCTGGTTAAATTTAACCAACACAAGAGGTACCTATCTTCTTAATATAGTCCTTTAAAAGCCTTTGTCCTGGGGTGCCTGGGTGGCTCAGTCGGTTAAGTGGCTGCCTTTGGCTCAGGTCATGATCTCAGGGTCCTGGGATCAAGCCCTGCATAGGGCTCCCTGCTCGGCGAGGAGCCTGCTTCTCCCTCTCCCTATGCTGCTTCCCCTACTTGTGCTCTCTCTCTGTCAAATAAATAAATAAAATCTTTAAAAGAAAATAAATAATAAAAGCCCTTGTCCGAGTCATACAAGCATCCACAGAACCCTCTTCTACTTTGACCTCCTCATTGTCTCCCTAATATCCTCTCTCTACCACACTTCAATTTTGATTTTGTTTTATGGAGAACTTTGGCCCTTTACATTGCTGCCTTATTCTTCTGTTCCTCATTTGTCCCTGCTGAATTGGACTCCACTCTTGGGCACTGGCCTCTTGAGCTGGTCAGAGCCCCTAGCAGAGTACCACTTGGCTGTCGTCTGGGTCCAGAGTGGTCCATTCTGGTGGATCCCAGATGTGATATTCTCCAAAGTCCTAATACAATACAAAGTTTAATTCATAGAACTAAACATGAAATATGTCAAATAGCACTTGTGTTAAGGGAAAAGGGAAGTGGCAAAATCAAACTTCAGCCCCAAGGAGGAAGGGAGGAGAGGCTGTGATTCACTACCAGTATTTTAGTCAGACCTCTTGTGTGTGTGTGTGTGTGTGTGTGTGACTTAATATCTAAGCACACTGGAAACATTTTAAAAGAATATCTTTGGCACATTACATCAGATAAATGTTTCCATCTCAAGTGACTCATGTGCTGGAACAACTTCACTTGACAATACAAATAAAGCGGATAGGAAATGTGGATGGTTAAAGAGCACATTTTAAGGTATTCAATTTATGAGTAAAGATGTAAAAGTTTTTATAAATTTTAAGAATTACTTTTTATATTCCTGCAACACAGACTGTCAGAATTAGAACAAACCTGGAAAGTCAAAAATTTTAATTCCTTTTGACAGAGTGAAATTTGTACTTTACAAGACTAAAATTAAGAAAATTGCTTCACATCACAAAACAAGATAGATTGTTAGTTGAAGTCTGTTACCAGGACTGTTGTGATTTGTGATGTTGTGTTGTGATAATTTATCAGTATTAAAAGAGAGGATTTCTGAAAACTTCTGAAGTTGTCATTTTTATCACTAGTTTCACTAGTTGGGCTTATAAGGCAATAGTGGGACCTAAACATTTTCGAGGCAAAAATTACCCTCATTTATCCCAGTTTCCCAGTTTAGTCAAACTGGGAGGCAAAGTTCCAAGTTCACACTCAAATTATCTAATAACTCAACTCATGCTTTCTCATGATTCCAGAATGTTTATTTTGGGTGTTTATGATTTGTTGCTGCCATTCTTTTCTATATTTCTTCCTTCCTTTCTTCCTTCATTTCTCTCTCTCTCTCTTTATCTCTCTCTCCATCTTCTCCAGAGCTGCAGAGATTCAACATGGAGGGAAAAAATATTATTTCATTTAACCCTTATAACATTTCATAAGATGGGGGTTATTTTCTCTGAGTTTTACAGATTAAGAAAATGAGACTTTAAAAAAAATAAAAAATAAGACTTGAATGTTAGATAACTTGTCATAATTCACAATAAAGTTCATAATAACAGAGCTTGGATTTGAACCCAGTTTCTTTGACATCACATTGCCTCTCTGGGATAAATGAGGGTAATTTTTGCCTCGAAAATGTTTAGGTCCCACTATTGCCTTATAAGCCCAACTAGTGAAACTAGTGATAAAAATGACAACTTCAGAAGTTTTCAGAAATCCTCTCTTTTAATACTGATAAATTTAAATTTGAGAACTTCTATTGACTAAAGAATTTACAAAGTTTAAAAGGGGATAATATTTCCTTTTATTCACTGTGCATTTCTGCACATCTCTATAAGAAGTTCCTATGAACATCTTCCAGGATCTTCCTCTACATTATTAATTTCTAGGCATTAGGAGAATAATAAGATTTTATTAAGTCTTAGAGATGCAATCTTGAAAATGTAAGAAACATGATTAATAAGAAAAAGGAATGTGGGACTCTGCAGCTAAATAACACTATTTTGATCTGTTCTTCTTGAAAATGTATAATGTTTTTCTAATAATAAACGGAGGGACCTAAGGGTCAGTTTGCTATTCTTCACTTCAAAGATAATAATAATATTCAGGGAATTATTAGTTTTGTATCTGAAAGTAATTACTCCTTCAAGCTTGATTTGAATAGATTTTATTAGACTTTGAAGTTTGTTGGCATCTACCTTAGAGACTATTGTTTCGCTAGAAAGAGTTTTGTTAGCTCAATACTTTCCTTTAGTAACTAAATGACCTGATCACAGAGACTGGGATATTGTTGTTGGTTTTTTTTTGTTTTTGTTTTAAGATTTATTTATTTATTTTGGGGGGAGGGCAGGAGAGAGAGAATTTCAAGCATTTTCCCCGCTGAGTGCAGAGCCCAACGTGGGGCTCAATCTCACGACCCTGAGATCATGACCTGAGATGAAATAAAGAGTTGGACACTTAACTGACTGAGCCACCCAGGTGCCCCGAGACTGGGATATTGTTAAGTTTTAAAAAATTATTTGAAGGAATCTGATTTAAATTTAAATGAGACTCATCCTTAGGCTCTTCTGAGAAGAGAGAATTCATGCACAAGAATGTATTTGTCATGAGCTTGGGGGTCTAAGTCCCTTGGTTCTTGGGTTTAGATACTAAGATCTACTTACGAGCTGTGTGATCTTGGGTACATTTCCAAGACTCTTCATTCTTTGGTTTTCTCATCTAAAAAATGGGGATAATACTATTTCCTACTTCATAAGGTCAATATGAGAATAAAAAGAGTCACTGGGTATCACGTCCTTCAAAGATGCCTGGTCCCTGGTAGGTCTGAGAGAATTTTTATCCAGAACTTCTCAAACTTTGATAGTTATTAGAATCTCATAAGGAACTTGGTAAAAATAAAAAGCCTTATTCTCTCTCAGTGAGTCTGGGCCTTCATGTTCATTATTGGCTTCTAGGTGATGATACACATCAAAGACTAAGAACCACCAGTTTAGACAATAATAATAAGGGTTTGTTCATCTTCTACATATGCCAGGCATTGTGCTCAATCTAAAGACATAAAGAAGAATGCATCAATCCAGGTTCAGCTGCAAAAACCAGACACTGCTAGCTTTCTTAAGCAGAAAGAGATTTTATACAGATCATTAAATACTTACGACATAGCAGGAAAGACTTGAGGAGCTACTTCTAGACCAGAGTTCCCAAAATGACTCTCAGAACATTGTCAAGGTGGCTGTTACCTCTGTCACAGTCAGGGGTAGAAGAATCAGATGATACCATTCAGGGGTGTCTGGGTGGCTCAGTTGGTTAAGCGTCCGGCTTTTGATTTTGGCTTATGTCATGATCTCAGGGTTGTGAGATCAAGCCCTGTGTCAGACTCCATACACAGTGTGG